CCCCCCCCCCCCCCCCTTCTCTCCCCTCTATTTCCCTCTCTTTAACGTTCCCCCCCCCCCTCTCTCTCTCTCTCTCTCTCTCTCTACATTCGTTTTTTATCCTTCCAGCCCGGCTTATTTTGTGGATGCCATTACTTTTCCTTGAAGCTCCTCAAAAACCCAGAGAAGGAAACCCAATATGATATCTGGAATGAATAGCGTGGTTTGGATGGAAGAGAAAGAAGATGGAGAAACAGCGTCATGGACTCGGAACACCTCCAACAACAACAACAATGGGGGTGTGGAGAGTAAAGACGAAGTGGGTACGCTCCCAGCATTCAAAACAATGCTTGAAGTTGAAGACGGAGATTGGTACTTGAACACCAACAACATACAAAACCACCATGACATCAGAGACCTCACATTTTCGCCAAATTTTACAGATGCTGAGAATAACCTGTTGTTACAACCAATGGACTCGTCTTCTTCATGTTCACCGTCATCAGTTTCAGTGTTCAGCAGTCTCGATCCATCTCAGGTGCAGTACTTCTTACCTCCAAAAGCCAGCATGTCTTCGGTCCTCAATGCCATACCTAACAACTCTCTTGAGAATAGCTTCGATTTGGGTTGTCAAACTGGGTTTCTTGAGACCCAAACCTTAAGTGCTTTGAACATAGGAAGTGGGGTTTTGACTGGGTTCAGTGATTTGAGCTCACAAGCCCAAATTGGTAATCCCAATCTGAGCTCAAACCCTCATTTTCCAACTACCCATTTGCTTCAATTGCCAGAAAACAGCTGTGCGGTGAGTTCTGGCTTTGGTTTATCAGGGTTTAGGGGGTTTGATGGGGGTTCTGGGTGTCCTTTGTTTTTGAATAGGTCTAAATTACTGAAACCACTTGAAAATTTTGCTTCAATTGGAGCACAGCCCACTCTGTTTCAAAAGAGAGCTGCACTTAGGAAAAATTTGGGTGATAATTGTGGCCATTTGGGGGTTTTGGGTATTGAAAATGGTGAAGGTTCAACTAATGTAGAAGGTTTTGGTAATAAGATGGAAGTGACTAAAGTGGATGAGATGAAATTGAAGAATGGCAATGTAAATGATGTGGATATCGATGGATTTGGTTTGAATTACGACTCTGATGAGTTTATGGAGGATACTAAGGTGGAGGAGACTTCTAAAAATGGTGGAAATAACTCAAATGCTAATAGTACTGTCACTGGTGGGGATCAGAAAGGGAAGAAGAAGGGGCTTCCAGCTAAGAATTTGATGGCTGAGCGCCGCCGCCGGAAAAAGCTCAATGATAGGCTTTACATGCTGAGGTCTGTTGTCCCAAAGATTAGCAAGGTAAGAATTTCTTCACATCAATTTCTCGTGAATTACAGTTTGAATTATTACCAAGTTTTTGTGTTCCAGATTCGTATAGAATACTTTTCTAGATTTTTTTTTGCCTTTTGTTTGATCAGTGGCGTATATTTTCTTTGGGTTGTTCCAACTTGTCTTCGAATTGAAGATATATGATGGCATTAAATTCACTCACATGAACTCTGTGGAGTGGTTTTGAAAATGACCATTGATTTTGGACCACAGACAGGGAGGTGGAACACCATTATTAGACCATTTATTTCAAAGTTTCTAGTGTAATGACGAACCAAAGTGAAAGGGTCACTGATCTACTAAACTCATTTAATGTAAAAATTTCATTCATATTCACCTAGCAACTTGGTTCTCTGACAGTCATCTTTTTACCTCTTTTTGCCTCCAATGCGTTCCTATCTCACCTTTAACCTTCGCTTGTTTGTTTCCTCTTTTAATGTTTGATACACAAGTCAGAAGTTTATAAGTTTGGGTTTTGTAATAGTAGAAGTGTCTTTTTCTGAGTTCGAATCTGTAATCAGCAGTTAGAGTTTTTAGTTTTTCCACGGTGTTGAATGAATTTCATGATGCCTGAGAATTGGTTGAATTAAACAGAAAGCAATGTTCAAGTGTAAAAGATCTCCAAGCTAATGTAGATAAATTTTGAAGTTGTGGTTAGCTTGATTTTGCAAAATATCCAGTTTTGATTATGAGTGGCAATTGAGTCGTGTCTCACGAGGTCATTGCGGGTTCGTATTGAACATTAGGCAATCCTAAGCCAACTCATTTAACTAATTGTGTCGTGTCGTGTTCGTGTTAACCCACATAAACTTTGAATAAAAAATTTAACTCTAAGATTCTATTTTCACTTAATTGAGTCCATGCTCATATTTTTTTACAAATTAAAAATTAACTTAATAAACATAATAACAATAATAATGAGTAAAAATATCAATTTTATACAATAATTATGTTAGTACTTAATAAACAGTTATAAATAATTAATATTTTATTTCTATAATACTAATTAAACATGTTGATCTTATTAATTTCTTGTTACCATACAAATGAGAAAATATAGAAAGTGTCAACTCTTAAATAAACAGGTTGATCATGTCAATTTTGAGTTTGGCGGATTGAACTCGAACATGACCCGTTTATATTTTGTGTTCGCATGTTAGGTCATTTTTAGTTCGTGTTGAATTCGAGTTGTGTTGAGTCAAAAATTGCCACCCTTAATTTTGATCCTAATTGTTTTCTTTATCAGAAGCTGAATACATTAAAACATTGAGGTGTATTTATTATTAATCCCATCTTGTTTCAACTTGATATTGAAATCTTGAAAAATGTTGTGGAGTACACAGGATAAAATCTCGGGAGACCTGGTAAATGCTAACTGCAGATGAAAATTTTGTCCCACGGTTATGAATTCTTTAGTGGTTGATCGCATGACTTTTAAATAAATTTGTGATTGAACTGTGAAATGCGTAGACAGTTATGCCATTGCTCTGCCAAAGCTATTAATGTGATGGTTTTGAATGTTAGAGAGTGTATGACCTGATATGATGCTGGTCATTTTGCTCTCTTGTGTTGGCAGATGGACAGGGCTTCAATTCTTGGGGACGCAGTTGAGTACTTGAAGGAACTTCTGCAGAAGATCAATGATCTCCAAAATGAACTGGAATCAACCCCTCCTAGCTCTTCATTGATGCCTACCACAAATTTCTATCCTTTAACACCCACCCCAACTTCCCTGCCCTGCCGTATCAAAGAAGAACTATGCCCGAGCTCATTGCCAAGCCCCACTGGACAACCTGCAAGGGTACTAGATTCATCCTTCTACATCCAAGAATTTCTTTTTTTCACTTATTGGTTTGAGTTTTCCCTTTACTTCTTGTAAATCTTTACGGGGTAGCAACTTGGTACTGCTTTTGTTACATCATAAGAGAGCTTTTAAATTGACACATTGCATGTTTTGATGTAAACATAGGTTGAAGTAAGGCTAAGAGAAGGAAGAGCGGTAAATATCCATATGTTTTGTGGCCGCAGACCAGGTCTATTGCTATCAACAATGAGGGCTCTGGATAACCTTGGGCTAGACATCCAACAAGCTGTTATCAGCTGCTTCAGTGGGTTTGCATTAGATATCTTCCGAGCTGAGGTGATCTTTCTCTATTCTTAATTTGCAATCCGCAAGCAAAACTCTTAATTTAGTACGAAGACAACTCCATTGGCATAAAGTGAATCCCGTCATCCATCCCCCCCCCCCCCCCCCAAAAAAAAAAAAAAAA